TTCAGCTTTTAGATTTGCAGTGTATTAATATGGCAGCCTTTAATAAGATTTTAAAGGTTTGTTTAAGTAGGTTTGAATAAAGAATTAATTTGTTGATTATATCGGCTCTTTTTTATTTGTTCCGTTTAAAATATTATGGAGTATGATATACCGGTAATTTTTTGTTTGTTCTGGTTATATTTATGTGCAATATTAGATGAAAACTCGTTGTACGATTTATTTGTATTTATGTGATAAAATTTGTTATTTTTTTCTTTTAGCGTAGTATATTGTTTTAATATTTTTATTTTAAAATATATTGTAAATTTCCTCTCATTCGTTAGTATATCATTAACTATTTTTACTTTAAAATAAACTAGATGAAGCGGTTTATTTGTAATTTTTCAAATTAAATATTTTACTAAATATATATTTATCTAATAAATTTTGTGATACTCGCTTTCTTACTACTTGAATTTTTTATTATAAAATGAATTATTAACTTTGTTTCTCATATTTAGATAAAATTCATAATATAAAAAAGATAATATTTTTTTTCACAAAGTTTCATATGTGGCTGGTCACACCGTGTGGTCGGGATTGCTTGGTCAGGAGTTACTTGGTTGGTCAAGGGTTACTCAATCGATCAAAGGTTACTCAATCGATCAGTGTTTGGGTGTGTCTCAACTGGCCACACGATATGGCCAACCACACAAAAAAACGTGCTGATTTTATTTTTTATAATTAATACTAGTATAATATGCTTGATCTAAAATAAATTGCAGTTCTTTTCTTTTTTTTTTTTGCTAAAATATAACATTTTCCTATGTGATTCTCTAAAATTAATCTTATGTGACATAATCCTATTGTAGCGGTTTAAAATTATTAATCCTACGTGGCGTTTTTTATTATTATTATAATCCTACGTAGCGCTTTAAAAAAAAAAAACCTAATCTTACGTGGCATAATCTAATTGTAGCGTTTTAAAAGTATTAATCATAAGTGGCGCTCTAATATTTTTTTTTAAATTGAAATCCTACGTGGCGCTCTAAAAACTCGGGAAAAAACTCCCCTTTATATATATTAGATTGTGAATTTCCTCTCATTTGTTATATATTTAAAAAAAAATTCCTAATTTCAAAAGATAATATATTGTATTTAAAATAATTTAAACTTTAAAATTTCATTTGCCAATTTTGCTTATGTGGCATTTTACAAATCTCTTATTTGATTGGCTATCACTAAAAACTTATAATCTATCTTAAATTCAACTCTTTTATCCTAAAAAATATATCTCACATTCAACTCTTTTATCCTAAAGAATTTATCTTAAATTCGTCTATCTAGTGTTAGAGGTGTCTTATTAAATCTTAGATGTCGCCTACGTGGCACGACACTTGGCGAAAAATTAAAACGCCAAGTGTCACTGTCTTGTGACCTGGCTAAAAGTTTAGCTTTATATTTATTAGATTGTTAACTCCATCTCAATGTGTAGCTTTAGTTCTTGTCAAAAAAAAAAAAAATGTTTGGCTTTAGCTTTCTTTTTTTTTGACAAAAGCTTTAGTTTTCTATATTACAGTACATACTAGAAAATAATACTCCATATTGTCATAATATAAATGAAGACGAAGTAATGTAATTTTAAAAATATGTATTGAAAATTGTACAAAAAAACAAGTAGATCGAAAAAAAAAAAAAAAACTATGAAAATTGTAGTACTCCGTGTTATACAAATATACAATTTCTTTAATCCTAAGGGATTACTTAAAAAATATACAATTTCTTTAATCCTAAGGGATTACTTAAAAAAAATTGAGTTGAGTTTGGGTGACTCTGGCAATGGAGGTTACTTTATACTTGTATAATAAATTTCCCACCACACTGCAATGATGATAATTCTTTCTGAAAAGCATTTCATTTCACCAAGCTAGATCTGTACATTTTATAATACTAATTTAATTTAATATTCCTGGCATTTATTATCAATGTAATTAAAGTATAATTCCTGACATTTAGTCATCCTAGTCAAAAAGCTATTTAAGTCATTCTAATATAGCCGTTGTGTTCAATTAAATTCATGGTTTGGTCAAACATTAAACATTAACATTTGTTATTCGTATAACTCCTAACTTTTAAGCTACTGAATTACGTACTCTATCGTTTCTTATTTACATGTTTACTTTTCTTTTTAGGTTTTTAAAATTACATACTTTTTTTTTATTTTAAGAATGTACTTTTTGACAATATTCCCTCTTTTTGATAAGTTAACATTTTTTTTTTTTTTTTTTTTTGTACTTTTGACATTATTTTTCAACACTTTTTCTCTCCATCTTTTCAATAATTATCAATTACCTTTTCTTTCTCTCTATCTCTCTCTAACTCCATATGCATATTTGTACTTCCCAATCATGGCTTTGAAGTTCCTTAATTCCCGTGTAAAATGAAAAGTAGACATGTAAATAAGGGACGGAGGGAGTACGTAGTATTTGTTGGAGCCTTTTCAAACAAATATCCTTGATTAATTAGTAAAGAGTGAATCAAATGACATTTTATGAAAAATACAAGTATAGCTTAAGAACTATGAATAAGGAGTCAAAAAAAATATTTATAATTCGTATTAAGGATAGATAAACATTAATTACACCGATTTGTGTTTAATTTTGTCATGAATTTCCAACTTTATTCCATTTTAGAAAATCGATTTAATGTTTTTATGTAGCCTTAAGAGTTATTGTTGAAGTAGGTTTTCCAAACATCACATGTAAGCATCCCACATCGAGAAAAAAAGAGAGAGATACACACTTTATAAAGCTAAGGGATTACTCCTCATAAGGCTCCTATTAACATATAGTTTTGGAATGAATTTTCCTTGGACTTGTGAGGTGGACTCTCTCTCTTAGTTGGTAGCGGGTGCGACTCCGACCCGTATTTAACAGCTATACATATCATTACCTACAATTTAGACTTCTTGCATTGTACGATTTTATGAAGGATAGATGATACAGCTCGTCAAAATAAATTTGAGTTATAAGCATATCACATTGGGAAATCCTAGATAGTGCTTGTTTTGGGGTTTTTCGGATGTCTCTTGAGAGACTACAAATTAAGATGCAACACCTTGTATGGATGACCACCTGCAAAACAATAAAATAGTGAGTACTCTATCATCGACATATTCACCTCCGACGATCAAATTAGTGATCGAAAGCGGAAGATTTAGAGAGGGAAGTTAGATGTTATGCCTATGTGTTTTTATAAGAATGAAGAAGATCTTATAAGAGCTGATTAACTACGGGCTAGTCCATTAGCTTGGCCCGATCCGGCCTAAAAAAAACAGGTTTTAGAAGAAAAAATATTGTTTTAGATATAAAACCCGAACCCGACTCGAAAAAAGCCCCGAAAACCCGCTTTGGCCAGGTAAGTCCGCCACTTTTTGTGGGTTTGGACCTAAGATTTGATGTTAAGACTCGGCCTAACCTGAATTTTTTTATCTCCTTTAGATCTTATGTATGTGGTACCATGTCATGCCGACATAAGAACAACACATATCATCATAGCATGTAATGTCTTGGGTTTTAATAATATCATAAATTATAAATTATAAATGAATGTACGAATTTTTATATACACCGTCAATATGTATTGACCTTCATATTTGTACATTGACTTCCATACCAATGTTTTGAACATTATTCTTGGCACATCTTTGCTTAATGGTGTTACTCTATATTGCGGTGTTTCTTTATTAACTGACGCCTCTGTGATTTTATAGTCAACTAAACCACATATTATCTAAATGTTCAAAGTTAAACATTGAATAATACAATGTGTTTATGTTAGGGGTGTGCCACCTAGTAGCAGATTAAGCACCCGTTCAAGCCTTTTCATCTTATTTAGGTCATTTACCAGGTGTTACCTAACTAAGCATGGATGCTAAATCTCTAATGCATGTCGATTCACCCATTTTCGTTGATTATCTAAGGGTGCTCGATGTCTATTCCTATCATGTCTATTCTCAAAGGTGGAGCATCATATTCTTCCATGGACCCATGCTTGAGAATACCTGCATTTTTTCAAGTGAAAAGTAAAAATCCATAGGCAAAAATCCTAATAATTAATTATTTAAGGATAGTGTAGGTTCTCAAGAAACTCGATAAATTTTTAAGAAAACCCATATTGGACTATATTGCTCCCACTTAATAAATTAATAAGTACCTTTAGGCTTTATCTGCTTCGAATTGTTGAGTTTGTGCTTCTTAATTTCTTATGATGAATAGTGCCTTGTTATGTTGGTGCATTTTCATGAGCCGGTCCCCCATTAATATCCAATATATATTAACAACTTTTGTTAATATAGTGACATTCTTGAAATTATATGCCTTGAAATTTGTTATTTATTCTTTTTATATTACTAGTGTAGTAGTGTTAATTAATGTTAGTGAGGTGGACTAACTTTGACGGTGTTAATAAGAGCATCCTTATTCATGAAAAAAAAAATTGTTCTTGTTACTATTTATAAAAAAAAAAAAAAAAAAAAAAAAACTTTCTCTATCATATACATCAACCAAACAAATAATTTCCAACCTCCTCATAATAATGAACCAAAAAAAATTGTTCATGCTACTATTTACCTACCCCACCTCAATTTATCTTTTACTAAAAATTAAAATACATACATAATTTACAATATATTAATCTCATGTGATATGTAATTGATTATTATTACCGAAACTAGTTACGCTTAGTATTAGGTAATTTCGATTAGCGTTATTTGTGTGCAAAATTAGCTACAACTATCGTACTTAGCGTTGTTAATTGTTTACAATTAGCATAATTAGCGTTATTAATTAATTTGTTAATTTAAATGAGGAATACAATTTTATTTTATTTTATTAATTGCCAAAAAAAAAAACAACCCATGTGCATTAGACATAACACATACTTAACCGTTAATAGAATTGAAATCTAATTGTTATTGTTCTCGTTATGCCTAAATTTCCTCCAAATGTGCAAATCGTGTTTTAATTGCAAGTGAGCTTGTTGTCTTCAATCTCTGTTCTTCGCTGTAAGTATATGTGGATGTCTACCACAAGCTCATTACGATACTTGAAAGCATCTTCGTAGGAACCACTTTGGCTGTCAATGAAGTGAAATGTGTCAGAGTTGTTCAAATACATATCTCGCTCATCTTCAACGATCATGCTGTGTAATATGATGCACGATAACATAATCTTGTGAAGTAATTGAACATCCCAATCTAGAGACGGTTTTCGAATTATAACGAATCGAGATTGTAGAACTCCAAAAGCTCGCTCAACATCTTTCCTCGCTGCTTCTTGATGCCGTGCAAACATGTTTCTGAGTCTACGGACTAGTGATAGACTTCACAAAAGTAGCCCATTTGGGATAAATACCGTCAATAAGGTAATACCCCTTGTTGTATTGATGACCATTAACAACAAAGCTCACAGGAAGAGTACGCCCCTCCAACACATCCTCAAACACAAGAGATCGGTGTAGCACGTTTAAGTCATTGTAAGTACCCAACATCCCGAAGAAAGAATGCCAAATCCACCAGTCTCGATCAGCAACAAGCTCTAGTATAAGAGCGGTGATAAGTGCATAATATACCATATTTTTAGCCCCTAATATTAGTCTTATAAGTGTCTTTTAGTTATTATTTCATAAGTTTAACTAACTTTTAATATTTTATTCGTATATTTATCTTCTATTAATTTTATTATTAAGTTGGTATAAATATTACTTAATATGTTTATTTTGTTAATTAGGATTTTTGTGGAGAAGCAAAAGAAAATAAATAAAAGGGCACGTGACTTAGCAACAAGCTACAACAAGCAACATCAAACAATCAGAAACAATAAGATAGAAATCCATCTTGCGTGATAATCGAGGCCTCCAAAACTCCATGTTTATCTTCAAACAACCTCTCCGAAATTCAAGCAAAAACAAGAAGATGAAGATTTATCCTAATTCAAGATTCTATCTTTTCATACCCAGAAAACCTAGGATGGTTTTGGGGTTATAAAAATTCCCAATCAACCATCCCAAAAGGACAAGTTTTACCACGGGACTAACATCGGGAATTTGTGAGGCTTGGTGGAGTACGATTAGGGGTGGGACTTTTCAAACCGAATCGCGAAACCGCCCGTTACCGAACCGAACCATCACGGACCGATCCGTTTATAAACCGATAAATATAAACCGAAAACCGAACTGAACCGTTCAATATCAAACCGAAACCGAATTGAACCGCTCAATGTCAACCCGTTACGGACCGTAAACCGATAACAAACCAAACTGCGCAAATCCGAACCGAAACGAAACCGAACCGAATGGTTTATAAACCCGTTAATGACCCGAACCGTTTATAAACCGAAACCGTTTAAACCGAAAAAAACCCGTTTAAACCGAACCATTTGTAACCCGCTAACCGTTTAAACCGACCCGTTTATGAACCAAAACCGTTAAAACCGCACATATAAACCGAACCGTTATAATCCGCTAACCGTCTAAACTGAACTGCCATAACCCGTTAAACCGTTAAAATCGAACTGTTTTCGAATCGCAACCTGTTTAAACTGATCCGATTACAAACTGCTTAACTCAAATTGAATTATTTACAACCTAAATGGCTAAATAGTAAATAAAATTAATGTTAATAAATGTAGATCTAATCAAACGGCTTAGGTTTATACAAAGGTTTATATCACCTAGATCTAGGCCAACGACACTATTAATATCGTTTTAGATTACTTATTTATTTTAATTACAAGATATATCATTTGTATCATTTTCATTCCAGTAATAATGCTAGTCCACCCAAATTATCTTCATTGTTCCTTGATATTCATGATCATCCAATAACACTCAAAGCCTCAAAGGTAACATAAGATTGGAGATGTATGAGATTGCGTTACACAAGTGGCATAAGCATTAGAATATTACTGTACTAGTCAATAAGGCGTACAATCATTCACATTATCACTTTATAAAACTTTCTTATACAAGTATTTTGTAAAGGGGAGGACTAAAATGTTTATAAAACACATTTTTTTAGCTTTTCTTATATTAAACCAGATATTAAGTAAAAGAATTTTAATAAATACGGAGGCATCCCAAATCTGTAGCCACAATTATTTCATAACATTACCACAAATCCAGCAGATAAATAGCATTGAAATTAGAGTAATATCAACAAGCAATTAAAAAAAGTCACCATTTTCATTGATTAAAATTCACAATACATATACCAATACATAATGAAACTACTATCACTACTACCCAGATTAGATTTCAGATTTATCAACTGAAACATCATCAAGTTTAGGGTTGCAAAAAAATGATACATTATAAGATGAAGGGAGGAGTGAGAATGTGAGTGATTTGGGAGCAGAATCTTGAAGCAGAATCTTGAAGCAGCAGCACAACACCCAAGAGCAGAGGAAATAGCAGCAACAAGCAGGAACCAGCACACGGAATAACAGATCAGCAACTTATCAGAAGCAAGGAATAATATAAGCAGAAGGGACTCAGCAGGAACTTATTTTTGTTTTTCAAAATTGCTCTCAGATTTACGTTTATCGTATCATCACTGAGCAATGGCTGTTTTAACTTAAAACTTGAAAAATGCTGCCAGCAAGTACATATACATTGAAGTCTCAACATAAATGACAAGGGCAACGATGATTCAAGAAAAATTAAAACAGCAAGCATAAGAAACAGCAACAACAAAACTTATCATAAATTCATAACACAAAAGGCAGCAACACAGCACCTCAAGCTGGCAGGAGGCAGGAACCAGCTCATGCAGGCAACAATATAGGCAATAACAACTCAACAGAGACAACAACCAAAAGGAAAAAGCGCTACCAGCAGGCAACAACTCATAACAAGTTCAAGCAACTTCAAAATTATAGCTTTTGTTTTTTTAAAATTGCTCTCAGATTTACATCACTGAGCAATGGTTGTTTTAACAAAAACTTAAGAAATGCTGCCAGCAAGTACCAAAATACATTTAACTATTTAAGTCTCAACATAAATGACAAGGGAAACGATTTTAAAAGTCTTGAAAAATGCTGTCAGCAAGTCTGAAAATAAATGACAAGGGCAACGATTTTAAAAGTCTTGAAAAATGCTACCAGCAAGTCTGAAAATAAATGACAAGGGCAACGATTTTTCAAGATAAAATAAACCACAATGAGACACAAATACCAGTTATGCAGATGAAGCACTTTCGGCTTCAATTTCTTTACCAATAAGGAGGACGTCTTCCTCAACATCCGCGGCACCAATTTTGGGTGGTAACCAATGCCTCAACATTCTTTGGCAAAAGTTTACCCTTATATTCTCAAAAAGAAAAAAGCATACATAAGAAAAGCTTAAACTTTTCCAAAAGTTTCCAATGAAATTATGAACCTATAAATAAACATGAGATGTTTATTTTACTAGCCCTAAACTAGCATTTATTTTATGCACATAACTGCAGAAAGTGACACAATTTGGTCTTTTCTTAGGTAAAAAAGCCAATAACCACATAATCTGAACAACCCATCATCATTACTTTTAAATCGAGCATAATAAACAACAAAACAGCACAAATCTACCATTTTCCCGTAAAAAACAAAAATACAATCAACAACAAATTTTAGGCATATTTCGACTATATTCAAGCAAGAACAACAACAATAATCAAATACAAAAAACAGAAAAACTGTATTAAAAAAACGAAAAGGAAAAAGTAATTACCTTTGACGACTTGAAGGAGATTTGAAGATGGAGAACTGCCTGAACTGGAGATCAAAAGAAAAAATCAAGAATGTAGATTATTAGAACTTGAAATAAAAAAAAAACCGAAACGAAAACGAAAAAAATCGAAAAAATTAACAAAAAAATTACCTTGAGGTTTGACGGCTTGAAGGAGAGGAAGATTTGAAAAAAAAAAAAAAAAAAACGAGAATGGAAAAGTTAGAAATCAGAACTTTGGATCCAAAACAAAAATGAAACGAAAACAAAAACCCTAAATAAAAAAAGTAAAAAATCAAAACGAAAACGAAAAAAATCAAAACGAAAACAACAAAAATTAACAAATAATTACCTTGAGGTTTGACGGCTTGAAGGAGATGAAGATTTGGAAAAAAAAAACGAGAATGGAAAAGTCAGAAATCAGAACTTAGATCCAAAACAAAAATGAAACGAAAACAAAAACCTTAAATAAACAAACCAAAACAAAAACGAAAAAAATCAAAACGAAAACAACAAAAATTAACAAAAAATTACCTTGAGTTTTGAACTTTTGACGGCTTGAAGCCTTCAAATTGAAGGAGTGGAAGATTTGAAAAAACAAAAAAACGAGAATGTAAAGCGAGAAATCAGAAATGTAGATCCAAAACACAAATGAAACGAAAACAAAAACCCTAATTAGGATTTTTAAAAGTTGAGAAGTTGAGCTTGAGATTCTTGAGAATTTCAGAACGAAAGAGTGAGAAACTAAGAAGTTAGAGAGAGAAACTATGAGGGAGTAAAACGGCTGAATGGCTGATAGAGTGGGTTTTTTTTTTCTAGGTTTAGGTTTTACTTGTTCAGTTGATCTAACCGTCCATATTCAATCTCAACATCTAACCATTCATTTTTTTTTGTAGATTCCAGAATATTCATCTAGATCTAACGGTCTAGATTTTTCTTTGTGCTTTTCTAGGTCTTTTTGACCGTTTTTTTAATTATTTATTATTATTATTATTTTGAGGGATTATTATTATTATTATTATTATTATTATTATTATTGTTAGTATAATTATTTGTTAATATTATTATTATTACTAGTTTACTACTACTATTATTATAATATTATTATAATAATTATTATTATTACTATTATTACTATTATTATTATTATTATTTATTATTATTATTATTATTATTATTATTACTATTATTATTATTATTTTATTACTTATAAGTTATAAATTGTAAGAAACGCAAATGTTTCAAAATTGAAATTGATTCAATACGACATAGTTAATGACTTAATGAGTTAATGCACATCAATATCTGACATCTCTATATGTATATTATATATATCTGTGAGTCTGTGACTGTATATCAGTATATATATATATAATAAACTAATAATAACTTAATAAGTAATACTAATAACTAATAAAGTAATGAAAATTTAACCATTGTTTTTCATGGGCATTCAATCTAACCGTTGTATATTTGACTATTCGTACATTAGTATTGCATAATGATTTCATCACCACTTTAATTAGTGATTTCGTGATTTCGTCCATTTAACTTATTAAGTTGTTTGAGTTAGTAATCTAAATAAAGTAACAAACTAAATAACGAATCCATTTAATCTCGTGTAAGTTATAATTTATAAGAAATGCAATGTTTGGAAATGGAAATTGATTCAATACGATATTGTTAATGTATATGTAATTATAGATTAATTATTATGTATATCATATCGTACGAATGTACGGTTGGTATCATTATCATACTATCATAAGTATCATTGCCTCATTGAATTATTGGTATGTACTATAATCGATAAACATATTTACATATCTGATCATTAAAACTTAAAAGTTTAAAACACTTGTTGATCAATC